AAGCAGAGGTAGAAGTAGAGGGATGAAGATGTATGGAAGTGAGAGGAATGGATGAAACATAAGAAAGTATGAAACAAGGGGGAGAAGCCTCAAAATCACATTTGGCATGATTGCGCTGCAACCAATCCATACCAAGAATGAGGTCAAAAGCTTGAATCGGCACCACCCGCAACAACTGCAACTCAAGCTTGAGATCGCCCACACACACAACTAGGTCCACCTCATCCCGTGCACATGCATGTGTACGGCCGTTGCCATAAAGAATGAAAACTGGTTCCGCCGCACGACGCAAGTGTAGACGACAACGTGTGGCAACAGGTCGAGCAATAGAAGATAAACTCGAACCTGTATCAACAAACACGGAAAGAATAATAGGAGACCTCTTGTTATAAAAACGAGCTTGGAAAGTAAACACTTGATGAACTGGTGCCGAGTGAACCCCTTGATGATACTCCCGAAAGAAAGATGGAGGGGTCACTAATTTATTCACGCAAGGTCCCTCCATTACTCGTGCGACTCCTCGTTTCCCGGAGGCATCTCGGTGTCCAGACCTTCCACTGCAACAGCACCCACGGGACGTTGCTGACGCCAAGGTCTCCACCCAGGAAATGGAGGTCGCCAATCCGGAAACGACTGCAACGCCGATAAGTATGACCAACTTCATCACAGACCCAACAACGAACATCACGGCCACGACCACGTCCTCGCACTTGGCCTTGGACTCGAGCAGCAGCAGCATCAACCTCCATTGGAATAGGACCATCACCCATAAGAAGTGGAGCAGAAGGACGTGTAGCAAGAAGTGGAAGAGGCGACGTCTCATAACGTTGTGCCAAGAGAAGAGCATCGTCAAGGGTGGCAGGAGCAAATCCATGCACAAGTCTGACAAGATCTTGACGAAGTGTTGGCCACAACATTCCTAGCTTGATCCGCTCTAACATATTTGGCTCCGCACGAAGCAAAAAACTTCGGAAACGAACGCCAAATTGCATCACCGACTCAGATGGCCCTTGGCGAAGACGATGCAATTGTTGGAAAGCATCATCACAATCATCAGCATGTCCGAAGGCACGTTTGAAGACATCCGGGAGAACACTCCAATCCCCACGAGTGGCTGCGCTCAAACCATTGTACCACTGCAACGCCGTCCCTTGGAGACATGTGGGAAACTCACGCAAACATCGAGCATCATCCCAAGAATGATATGTGGCAATCACCGTGAAGTGATCGAACCAATGGTACACATCATCCCCAGGATTCCCACGAAAGAACTCCGGCTGAACGCGAGGATTGGCACCAAGAGCAGGAGGAGTGGTACCACATGCTGTGAACGTCGCCATCAACTGAGTTTGGCTGTTCAATTGCAAGCACATAGCATCAAGCAATTGTACCAATTACTGCTCTAGAGTCAAAGGAGGAAATTACTGATCTGCCATGAAGATGAACGAAAAAGAAAGAGCAATAAAAGAGAAATGATAAAAAAAGCTAGAAGGAAATGGTAAATCTAGACAATGCAAAAAGCTAGATCTAAACCAAAACCCTGAAAAGAAAGAACAAAAGAAAGGAAATGGAAAAAGCTAGATCTAGACGATGCAAAAGCTAGATCTAAACCAAAATCCTAAATCCAAGCACTCCTCAGGGACAATTAAAGCTGCCCCTCACCTCCATAAATGTGAGTGCATGGAATATGGAAAGGGAATACAGAAATGTGCATATCAATTAGCCCAAAAACCCTAGCTTATATACAGGAGCGAGTGGTCCAGATTGAAACCAATCCGACAGCTACCAAAATCCCACTACGCTAATATTAGTATACGGCATCGTAACCATACACTTGTCCCTCACAATATGAATTTATTATTAATTTTATAATAATAGTAAATAGTATTATAAATTGATGAAATATTTTTTATTTTTACAATATTAAAAAGTTATTATAACTATATTTATTGAATGCAAAAAAGCAATATCTTCTAATAAAATAAAACAATATTAAAAGTTATATAGCTAATATTGATGAAAAAATTAACATTAGATATCTTTATAATGAAAATTCTAGTCTTGTTAAGTTTGTACTTTTTTATTCTATGGAAATATCTTCTAAAAAATAACTTATTTATTGCTAGTTTTATATAATTTCAATTAAAATTTGGTGCACTTTATCTGGTGATACTAATGCAATAATAGATATTACATTTTCTTTATTTATAATAAATTTATTTTTTAAATCACAAAAAAGATAAGAACTTTGAAAGTTATAACATTATATGCAAGATGAATATCGTTTTAAATTGGTAAAATTTGTAGAATATTAATATTACAAGAGAGTTTTTAATATTTTTTATTAACTAAGTTGATGTACGTATATCAACTTTAGCAAATACATTAACATATTTTAAAGTAACAATATGGAAGAAATATTACTTAAAATACAGATGCAATGAATATTTTAAAAAATTGCTAAAATTTATAAAAATTATTTATGCATAAAATATTAAGTAGTTAGTAATTATATGTTTTTATTTATATCATTATTTCAAAATTCGTGGCACCCTTAAAAACAAACATTAATGTATAGACTAATGTTTAAAACTCAAAAAGTGAAAAAATGTTACAGATTGATAATTAAAAAAAATAGAAAATCGCATTTTTCAATTTTAAATAACATATAATAACTATTTTATAGAATCATATTCAATAAAAAGGTGCCTAGGTTTGTGCGCGCTAATTAAACTCGGTGAAAACATTTAAAACCCCTTTTTTAGGTCTCACGTATTAGGTTTAGGGCTTGTGGCGAAGAGTTCTCTGCTTCGCTGCTTCGCTCTTGACAATCCCGGGAGCGGGAAGCTCCACAAAGCTCCGCTCTGGGCGCGCGGGCCACAGGTGAGGTGTGATTTCCACAGCGCTGGGAGGAGAAATCTCCAGATTCTTCTTGTTTTATCGTAGCTCCGCGTGTGGATGATCTTGAGCTCAGCCACAGCTGCTAGCATTGTAAAATGGGAGCGCCGAAACAGAAATGGACTCCAGAAGAGGAAGCGGCATTGCGCGCCGGCGTGGAGAAATATGGAGCGGGGAAGTGGCGGGCAATCCAGAAGGATCCAAAATTTGGCCCCGTTCTCAAATCTCGCTCTAATGTCGACTTGAAGGTACTGTGACCCGAGAAATTGGAACTTCCTTTTCTCTCTTTGGTTCTTCCCTCTCCTCATCTTCTTCTTTCGTTTTGATTTTGGTCTTGGCAGGACAAATGGAGGAATTTGAGTGCTTGTTCTGGTCCCGGTGGTCCAAGGTCCTCCAAAGTCCTGGGACTGCCGAGTGGAGGCGGCATGAGGAAATCCATGGACGCTGGATTGAGTCCTTTGCAGATTGACCCCTTGGGAGCTTTCCCCGATCCAGCAGCTTATCAAGAAATGAGAGAGATGGCATCAACACCCAGTGAAACAAGTCCGCAAAGGTGACAAATTTTTCTTTTTGTGACTAGTTTCCCCCTATCTCTATGAAGAAACTTACGGGCTTGCTTTCCACAGTTATGACGACTTTATTTTGGAAGCCATTATAGTTATGAAACATCCCGGTGGTTCTAGTAGTGCGGCGATTGCTAACTTTGTGGAGGTACATTTCTCTTCCATCGTCTGCGAGGTTTTGATCCGTTTTCTGTTACAGGAGCATCATATGGTTCCGCCAAACTTTCGGAAACTTTTGAACGCGAAGCTAAAAGCTTTGACAGTGCAAGGCAAGTTGATGAAAGTAAGTCGTGTTTCTTTGCCATGAAACGATTCAATCCACGGTGAATGCTCTCGCAGGTGGATCAAAACTACAAGATCAATACAGGCTCTTCCAAACCCAGGGGAGGACAGAGGCCCGACAGCGACGACGAGAAAGCATTCGGCCGGGACGCTAAGAGGGCAGTAAAGTCGAAGAAGCCAAAGATGGACATAGAGACAGCAACACTGATAGTTAGGGAGTCGGAGGAGGCATCGTTGGTAGCCGCGACGCGCGTAGCCGAGGCGGATGCTCTGGCGCAGGAAGCCGAGATGGCAGCTCGGGAGCTGGAAACCGCCGAAGCTCTAGCTTTCGAGCTCGACATCGCTGCGGAGGTTGCCGCTTATGCTTTGAGGCCGCACAGAAAATGTGAGAAACCTTTCCTTTCTTTCGTGACAAAATCTCTCGAAGTTTTGACGAATGTGTTCTTCGCAGCTCGGGCGTCCCTCGGGGGAGTGTACTGTAATCCCATTGCCAATCAAAGCTAGGATGATTATAAAAGAAGAGGAAAAATGGAGAGCATTTTTTTTGTTTTTCCTTTGATGAAGATGGCTGGCTGGCGGCCGTTGGATGCGTCCATTCCAGCCGTTGGATCTCCTGACCACCAAGGTGCTGTTTTTTTTTATATACTCTCTCTCTCTCTCTTGTGTGTGGTGTCTATTCTTAAAGGCTGGAAGAACATGAATCTTTGTCTGGCAATCACATGGAACCATTTTTCCATCCCAAAAAAAAAGATCTAGCAAGCAAGCAAAAGAAGAAAACCATGATCTTGCTTTAACTGGAAGATTTGAGTGATCCATGGTTTGATGCTCCAGGTTTTTGAGACAACATTGTCAATGTTCTAAAGTTTTTTCCTGGAAAGGGAAAGAGCGCCAACTTTTCTGCAAAGCAAATTTGATAGCTGGCAAGCCATAACGATCATTGCTGAGTGCTTTTGATCATCAAAATATTTTTGGTGAAACATCTCCTGTTATGTTGCTGTTTGGCAATGTTGCTGATTCGATGGATTTAGATGATCGATCCAACGTCACAAAAAGCGGTAGCCAAAAATTCAACATTGCGTGGAATCAAAAATTTTCTTCCATCAGCTTTGATCGAGTCAATCAAACCGCTTTCCCTTTCATGGAGGTTATTACATGTGGCAGGACAAAACAGGGATGACGTGGCGTACGACTACTGGCCCGAGGCTGACATGCTGTCCTTACACGTCACTAAAAGAATTGGAAGAAAAGAGAGAGAGAGAGAGAGAGTGTGTGTCACTGGTGGTGCGTGTGCGTGCTTTGTTCTTCTTTAGTTTTCTCTCTTGTTTCTCTCCAGCTCCAGCGCGAGAAGAGATGGGCGACGAATCAATCAATGCGAATGTTGATGTGTGTGGTGATTCAAGGCACTAGCGACTGGCATTGTGGCGTCCCCGTCAATCTGGAGCTCTGAGCAACGAGAGGGAAAGAGAGAAAGAAGAAGAAGAAGATAAAGGGGTTTCTTTCGGGTCACATTGTTTCTGCTTCTCCAGCACCATAGCGAGCGAGCGAGCGAGCGAGCGTTTTACAGTGATGGGTTCTCGCGCAGGAGCTGGATCCAGGTACCATTTTGGCAGCATTGGATTGGGTTTCCCGGGGATGGGAGATATGGAGTTCTAGAGCTCCATTTCTTCGGGATTTCGGCATAGGATAGCGGCTAGCTCGCTCGATCATAGATGAACAGGGGCAGGCATGGCTTCTTCCCAAAGCTTTCGAGGCAAGTTTGCTACTCCTCCTGTCCTAGCACCATAGCATCATAGATTGGGGAGGCTTTCAAGGAAGGCGACATGGATGAACAGCCAAGGCAGGATGGCTAAGCTAATCTCGATGGTGGCGCTCTAGATCTCGCCAGTCGCCTAGTTAGGTGGCGAGTTGTGGGTGATGATCTTGCAGTGCAAGCTAACCGATACCCCACAGAGAAAACGAAGAACTTCGCCTTCACGGTAGCTGGAACGTAGCAACAGGAAGAACACAAGAGAGAAGAGAATGTCTATGTCTATAGGAAGACCACTCCAGCAGCATCCAAGCAATGTGAGAGTGGTGAGGAGAAACCAGTGGAGCAAAGCTCTCAGCCCCGCGAAGAAGAAGAAGAATGGCGACGAGGAAAAGGAGGAGGAGGAGGAAAAGGAGAAGATCAAGCGGCCATCGCCGATTCTCAAGAAGGTTTCCAGCTTCGACACGATAGAAGTGAGCAGTAGTGACGATCAACACTGCAATGGTGGCGAAGGATTGGACTACCAGAGCCCGCTGAGGAAAGATGGCTTGATCATGGATCCGCCAACACCGATGTTCTTCAGCTTCACTTACGGCCTCTACTCCGACTCCACCACCAATTCCAGCTCGAATTCCCACGACAAAGAGGAAGCCATGGCCATCGCCAAGAACTGCACCACCGACGAGGAGTCTTCCAGCAGCTGTAGCAGCTGCGTGGAGGATCCTTCGCCGCCACCTTGGAAGTCACTGGCGGAGGTGGCGGCGGCGGACGAGAGCGCCAAGAAGAAGAAGAAGGTGACGTTTGCGGTGCCGGAGGCTGTTACGTTCGCGGAGAAGGAGATCGAGGCTCCTCCTCCGCCACCTTTGATCTTGAGCTCGCCGCGAGGGTCTCGAGCTCCCGGGAGCTCTTACAGTCCGATCAGGAGCCCGAGGTCGATCCATCCCGGGTGGAAGAAGCAAAGCTCGCCGAAGGCCGGGCGGGTGGCTCCCGAGGGATTGGTCGACTTGGCATCGGCCGCTCCAGATAAAAAACGCTGCTCGTGGATCACACCTCAGAGTGGTACGTAAGTTTCCGCGATTCTTTTTTTCGTTTCTTGTGCTCGTTCTTGCTTGCATTCATTCTAGCTTAGTTTTTTGCTACTGAAAAGAGCGTGTCTCGTGGCTACAGACCCGGCGTATGTCGAGTATCACGATTCCGAGTGGGGCGTTCCCGTCCACGATGATAAGTAAGCTCGTTTTCTTCTCTCATCAACTTGTTGATCTTCGTTTTTTAGGAAGCTATTCGAGCTTTTAGTGTTTGCTGGTGCGCAGGCCGAGCTAAGCTGGTCTGCACTACTGAGCAAGCGAGAGCACTACAGGTAAAGAAAAAGAAACGAGCTCGTTCTTCCTACTAAAAAGAGTTTTTTTTTGTGTTCTCTAGAGCTGCGTTCGCTGGATTCGATGCCGAGGTTGTGTCGAAGTTCGATGAGGCGAAGATCTCTTCCCTGTCTGCTGATCCGGAAATACTCCAGCACGAAGGGAAGATACGGCAAATCGTCGACAACGCAAAGTGCATAGTCGAGGTGAGACAAACAATTCCAAAGTTTCCATATCGTGATTCATTCTCTTCCAGGTGGTGCAAGAGTTTGGATCTCTGGACAAGTTCGTGTGGAACTTCCTGAGCCACAAGCCGATCGTCAACCGGTACCGGACGCCGCAGCAAGTGCCAATCAAGTCGGCAAAGTCGGACTTGATGAGCCGGGATCTCATGAAGCGGGGCTTCCGTTTCGTCGGGCCGACCATCATGTACTCGTTCATGCAAGCCGCCGGGATGACGAACGATCACGTCCTCCACTGCTTCCGCCACCAGGAATGTATCGCAATCTCCTCCCCGCCATCGCCATCGCCATCGCAAGAACACAAACTCCCGAACGAGTCTTCCGCCGAGAAATCGCCACAATCCTAATACGAAACTAGCAAAACTACTATGATAGAGTGATCTTTATAAAGGGCATTTTTCTTCGCTGTAGCCAAGTTTCCTCGGAAGAGTAGCCACGTCGCAAGCTTAGAAAATTGACACGTGTATCCGACGTTGCACTTTTAACGGTCAAGATGACTTCGTCGCGGATCGATCCGCGCCATCGCCTTGGGCGTCGCTGATTGGTCCAGCTGCGCATTTATAATCTCCCCCAAGTTAGTTTGTTGTTGTGCTGGTTCTTCTTTCCCAGGGCGGCGGCATCCACAGTTCTTCGCACGATCGATCGCAAATCCTCTCGCGTTTTGATTGATCCTCTCCAGTTTCGTTTCCTACATGGCCAAGGATTCGTCGTCCGAGCAGAAGGCGAGCAAGGCGGCCAAGGGCGAGAAGCAGCCACCCAAGCTCAAGCCGGAGAAGAAGCCAGCGCTCAATCTCAAGGAGGGATCGGGGGCAGGAGGAGGAGGCGGCGGCGGCGGAGGATCGAGCAAGAAGAAGCGCGCCAAACGAAATGCCGAGAGCTACAAGACGTACATCTTCAAGGTGCTCAAGCAGGTCCATCCAGACACGGGGATCTCGTCCAAGGCTATGGGGATCATGGACTCTTCATCAACGACATCTTTGAGAAGCTCGCACAGGAGGCGTCGCGGCTGGCGCTCTACAACAAGAAGCCCACCGTCACCTCTCGCGAGATCCAGACCGGGGTGAGGTTGATTCTCCCGGGAGAGCTCGCCAAGCACGCCGTGTCCGAGGGGACCAAGGCCGTCACCAAGTACACGAGTTCTTGAGAGGATCAACCCTTTGCTCTTCATCTCTTCTTTCTCTTGGCTATCTAGCGATATAGCAATGGAAGGAAACAAAAGTTCTTTCTTTCGTTCTCTCTCTCTCTCTCGTGCCTCCAACTGTACAGTAGGAAGAACTTGGAAAGTCAATGATCTTACAATTCTTTCTTTCGATGGTTTTTCGAAAGATTCAATGATCTTAATTCCTCCCCAAAAAATACACCTGATTGATGGAATTTTGGTTCTAAAATCAAGATTTTTACTGCTGCTTGAGGCTCTCGACACTGATCTCTGCCGCTGGCTGCGATGATAGCGCGCTCCACACGGATCCAGCCGAGTATCTTACAATCTGGAAGATCTTCCGGACGAAGTTCCAAATCCCCCACGAAAACGTGAACCATCCTGCCATCCAAAAAACGAGTTTTTCTAAGATCCAAGAACAAAGCTATACGAGAGTAGTGAAGTAGTACCGGCAGCCATGATCATCCCGCAGATGCTAAAGAATGTGAGGCTGGAGATGGTAACTCCGGCCGCCAGGAGCGCTCCAACATACACAGCCGTGAGGGACGTGAAGAAGGAAGCCATCAAAAATCCCACCAGCGAGATCGAGAGTATCAAGCTGATCATCATCGCATTTGCGGTCGCTGATACGAACACCACCACAAACGTTGCGAGCGCTGCCAATGCCGCCAATCCAACCAGCCCAACCTGGAGAAAAAGAAATCTTTCGCTCATCATCGAAGAAAAGATTAGAGAGAATACTCACAGCACCAAGAAGGGTGATCTTGAGATGGCCGCTCTCCTGCATCCAGCGATGGAGATCCGCCATGGTTTGCCTAGCGGCGATTTGGGCTCTGGGGCCTTTATCGTAGGCCAGAGCTCGCATCCTTGCCAAGACGCTGTCCCTGCCCTGCTTGGATCCCGAAACGAGCTCGCCCAAGTAATCGCGAGCGAGCGCCATGAATCCCGCGCATTCCTGCCGCTGCTGCTGCTGCTGCGCCGGCGGTGGATGATCCAGCGCCGCCACTCCATTCGCAGCATTCGCTCCTCCTCCGCCCCGCGCGACGGCCATCGCTCTTCCTCCCCCCAAAACAAGAGAAAGAACAAGAAAACTTTAAAAAGCCCTAGCCGCCAGTTGGTACCCAGGACACGTGTCCGCCTGCCAAGGTGCCACGTAGATTCAGAGAAGATGCTTTGGCGGGAGGAAAGGGATCTTTCTAAAATTCTATTTTGGAGAACTTTAGTTCAGTGCTGCAACACCAAAAATCTTTCCCACTTGGAGAAAACGAGTGTAAAAAAGCGCGAGCGCTAGCGAGAATCTATCGACCCCAGGGACGATTGCTGCCTAGAGGAACAGCATTCGATCCAGATTGCGCGGGGCCCCTTCCAAATCCGCGGCCTCGATCACGAAAGCCAACTGCGAGAAAACGAGCAAAGTGAGCGAAGAGATCTAAGAAAACCAAAGACAAGCGAGCTAGAGCTTCCTTACCTCCTCCTCCAAATCCTCTGGAGCAATTCACCATCGACTGGAGCTCCGGGGTTATACGCTGCCCAGCCTCCGAGAGAATGGACACCAGCTCCCTGGCGTGCTTGGCGTTTGACACGGTGAAAAACGTGTACGCCGTTCCCTTTGCACCAGCTCGGCCTGTTCTTCCGATGCGATGCACGTAGTCCTCGCAAGAGCCAGGGAAGTCGTAGTTGATCACATATCTGATGTCCTTGACATCTGTTTGACAACAAAAGGCCACGAGTCAGTAACTTGGTAATGAGAAAAAATGGAGCAGAAAACGAGGAGCACAAGGCTAAACGAAACCTCCCCTCGCTCTGGGCACCGAAAGAAAAAGCTTGAGTTTTTTAGCGACGGAAGGAAAAGGAAAAACGAGTAAACTCTCTTCTTTACCGAAGCCGTCACCCATGATGAAACTCGACTAGGCTGTAGAATGTGTCCAGCTCTGGAAATGCGGACAGCAGCATGGCGGCGGAAGCTTGAACGTTTCATCCATCCCGAACACATCCCTCCGGCATGGCCGCCAAGCCACAATCGCGCCATCAGGAAACTGGTCCACAGCCCACCCATTCCTCATCAACTTATGGGTGACAGGAATTTTGCTGCATCCCAACACAAAGAAAAGAAAAGCAAAAAGAGCTTCTATGACTGTGCAACAGAGAGCTGTACCAGGTGAATCTTAAAACTAAAGAATGAGAAGGAACTAATGCAAAAACGGAAGACAGTAGAAAACAAGAAGAGAGCCCAGACATATCATGCAAGCAAATGACAATGAGGACCGACTTACCTAGGCCGCGAGCTGCAACGTCAGTTGCGGTCATGATCGGGCTCTTGCCGGTCTTAAACTCGGACAGAACCCAGTCGCGCTCTGCCTGGCTCTTGTCCCCGTGAATCGAGAGAGCTGGCCAGCCTTCCATTCGCAGCTGCTTAGTTACTTGGTCACATCCGCGTTTCGTTTCCATGAATATGAGAATCTTTCCTCCATCCATGAACTCGTCCAGCAACTTGATCAGTCTGTAGACAAACGTCAGAGTATGTTCTTACTTTAGAAAGTGAAAGAAAAGAGAATTCCCATACTCACTTTTGATACTTCTCGTAGTCATTAACAACTTCAACATGCTGAGCGATAGAATGGTTCGCCTTTAGAGAGGAAGAGCCTATTGTCACCTGCAAGAAAGAGAGAAAAGACGTTGAAAACCGAGAGATTTTTAACAATATAAACCTTGTAGGGATCATGCAAAAATTGATTAGCCAACTGCTCGACATCTTTAGGCCATGTTGCGCTCCAGTAAAGCGTCTGGCGGTCTGGCCTAATCTGCAACAGTGAAAGAAACAAAACTTAATCTCGCCACACAATGGCATAGCATACTCTCGTACCTGTCCAACTATCTTTCTGATTTGAGGCTCAAAGCCCATGTCCAGCATTCTATCAGCTTCATCCAGCACCAAATATGTCACCCTCCGAAGGTTAGTATGTCGGCCTTCAAGCATGTCGATGAGGCGTCCCGGGGTAGCTATGACAATTTCGACCCCTGCAAGTAGACGCAGTCAGTCTCTCCTTGTGAATCATCTCTTTTCCCTACCTCTTTGCAAGTCACGAATCTGAGGTCCCTTTGGAGCTCCACCATAAATGCAAGTGCTTTTGATCTTTGACGAGGAACCAAACTTAGCAGACTCTTGTTGAATTTGAACAGCCAACTCCCGTGTAGGAGCTAGCACCAGCACAATGGGACCGTCGCCGGGTGCTAAGAATTCCAAACCAGAAAATAAACAAAGAGTCCAACGCTTTATAGAACTTACCAAGATAAGGCTGTGCATTTACATGGACGATTGCAGGTAGAAGGTATGCAAGAGTTTTCCCAGATCCCGTTTCTGCAAGTCCTACTAGATCCCTCCCTTTCAAAGCCATGGGCCATCCTTGAGCTTGAATGGCGGTGGGCTCCTTGAAACCGGCTTTGAGAACTTCCTGGAGAACATAGTCTGCCAAAACATCCACATAAGATCAATCAAAACCTTGTCCTCGATAGAAGAAACCTTCGCCTACCTGGAAATGAAGCCTCGGCAAAACTCCGGACAGGCTTTGGGACATTTCTACCCTGGACGGTGATGTCCTTTCGCCTCCGAAAATCCACAACCTCGTCATCCGTTAGCGCTGCCACAGATGGATGCTCGATGTAAAAGTTCTTCTCGAACGGGGACAAATTGTCGAACTGCTCTTTCGGGAGGACCATGGAATCGAAATCCTTCTTCCGGCTTCCACCGCCATAGCTGCTTCCAAAATCACTGCGAGAAAACGACAATGAGAGGAATGAGCCCGATGATGAACACCCAGGGTTATTTCCAGTACCTTTTCCGGTCTCGGTACGAGGATGGATCACTGTAGCGGCCATCGTAGCGACTCATCCTGTTCTAATCCGAGACTGCTAGACGCAAAGGATTCCAATCAAGGGGGCCGAAATTTCCAGAAATCGACGCTGCGAGCGCTGCAACACGAATCTCTCACCTCGATTCACTACACGCTGGCGCGGCGGAGCAAAGGAAGAAATCGATCGAAGCCGCGTTCTCTCCACTTAGAGACGTTAGCCCTAGAATGGGACCGACCTATGTTTCTCTTTCACGATTGCGTGAGACGGTATAATCTTTGGCGTCCAGTGCCGTACCGGAATCTAATTATAAAATATTCTCATGTACGGCATCGTTTATGAGACCGACACTACATTCATGCGTGATATGATCATCCGAGGCTCGCCGTGAGGTCCTTGATTTCGTCCGCAGAGATCGTCTAGAGTTTGGAAGATCGAAACATATCGTTAGTTCGTGGCGATCGATTGGAAATACTTTTTTTTTTTCTCTGGAAATCTTACTTGGTCTTTGCCAGCAAAATCGTTCTCTGGAGTGAGGAAGAGCATGCAGTGACATTCCTTCCTGTAAAGCAAATCGTTTGCGAGTGAAGATGAAAAGAAAGAAAAAACCAAGATCACGAAGAAAAGAAAGAAGGATCCAACCTTTCCCTCATGGGAACGCAAGGGCAGTTCCAAAATCCTTGTGACGCTTCCGCGGGTTTGTCATCGTAATGCCTGCCATAGAAGCATCCAGAGTGAATTCACGAAGCTCTAGAGTGAAGAATATGATTCTACCGGCAAGGACACAGCGGAGCTCCCAAGGTGTCTTTGTGCTCCGCTAGACCCTGTAACTCCCAGTGTCATTGAAAATTCGAGAGCAAAGGAGCTAGAGCTGGAATCCACTACAAACAGAAGAGAAGAAGAAAACACAGAGAGAACAAACCTTGATCACCACAGAAGTGACGCTCTTGTCCGCGCAAAAGTAAGTCCCAGATCGTCTAGCGTACTGCTCCGAGAATTTGCGCATATTCTCGATGCTCTTGGAGGAAGGCTCCGCTAGAAAAAAACACATTTAGAAGCAGTAGAAAACGAAGCACTGGAAGCGAGAAAGCATCGCATTCGAATCAATCCATGCAAAGCAAGGCCAGGAATCACAGCATCGGCGAGCAAACAATCCGCGAGAAATCGAAACAAAGAACGCACTCACAGGACGCCCGCACGACATGGATCCTCCGCCGAGGCGTGGACGATGGATTGACGAAGGCGCCGCCGAGATTTCTCGAGGTTGTCGCGATGGAGGCCATTGCCGCCATAGCCACAGAAAAATAGGGCGGACAAACAATTAGTTCTCTCGCTCGGGATTTTTCTTTACCCTAATGCTTGGCGAGGAGGCGGCGGCGCATGGCAGCGAATTTCTGGACGTCGTCTCACTGGTATGAATCGCGATCGCCATCGCCGTGCTGCCGCATTGCTGAATTGTGGTTTCCCGCAGCAAGAGGCTGCTTGAGCAGGAGGAGATTTCAGTGGTTTCTAACGACGATCGCGACCGTGGCCTCACGCAGGAGGATGTGAAGATCATCAAGATCTACTTCTCTTCTTGTGAGTTTCGTGAGTTCCAAAGAAGCGTATAACACTTTTGCTTCATTAACTGGGCAGACATAAAGAAATTGGCACAGCGTGCAAAAGTTCGCCAACGGTAGCTTCTCTCAATCTTTTTTTTTTCTTTCTTCGTTCTAGCTAGCTCTCTGAATCTTTCTTCGTTTTCTCTTTGGATCATTTCGGATTGACTTTGGGATTTTGATCAATGCAGTGTTGTGGCGACAGCGATCGCATATTTCCGACGGGTTTACACCAGGTAACTCTACTGAAGAATTCTTCTTTTGGTGTGCTTACGAAACTTGTTTTACAGGAAAAGCTTTTCAGAGTATGATCCTCGGCTTGTGGCACCGACATGCCTGTACCTCGCTTCAAAAGCCGAAGAGAGTACCGTTCAAGCCAAGCTTCTCATATTCTACATGAAACAAATCGGTAGGTACCTCGCATTCTTTAGTTCAGCAGCTTCACTGACTTTCACTTCCTTGAAATGCAGGGTCAGATGAGAATGGCTTTCGCTACGACATCAAAGACATCCTGGAAATGGAAATGAAGCTCCTGGAGGCGCTAGATTACTACTTAGTTATCTATCATCCTTACAGGCCGCTTGTCCAGTAAGTCTTGCTTTTTAGAGCTTCCTAGATCTTCTGTTCTGGATGATTGATTATACTTTCAGGCTGCTGCGAGACGCTGGCCTGTCGGACATGATCGAGATGTGCTGGTAACACTTTGCGTCTCGTTTCTAAGCTGTCAATCACGCCGTGCTTGCCTTGCAGGTCCATAGTGAACGATTCGTATGGAACCGATCTCATACTGATGCATCCACCTTACATGATCGCTCTGGCGTGCATCTACATCTCGTGCGTGATCAACGAGCGGGACAATCGCCTCTGGTTCGAGGAGTCGAGGGTGGACATGACCGTGGTGAGTGACGAGACTCTTTTGCGCGTTCTTGTTCGTATTTTAACTCCTGGATCTGCCGTGCTCCAGATCAAGAACATAGCAATGCAAATATTTGACTTCTACGATAACTATAGGCTTGGGTTTGAGGACCGAATTGGCGCAATCTTACTCAAGCTCTCCCAGAAATCATAACTATATAAACGTTTAAACGTAAGTCTTTATATATTAGGTCTAGTAGGGTCGGGTCAAATTTGGACATTGTGGAATATCCTTAGATGCGATTAGGGCTTGCGAGGGTGAGAGTGAAGAGAATTGGCTATGGCGATATTTTGGATCTAGATTAGGTCAAGGCGCGCGCGAGAGAGAGCGCGGCCGCGCGGGGCGCTGGGCCGGGAAGAAAGGGGGATTTTCAGCCATGTACAGCAATTTCAAGGAGCAGGCGATCGAGTATGTGAAGCAGGCAGTGGTGGAGGACAATGCGGGCAACTACGCCAAGGCCTTCCCGCTCTACATGAACGCGCTCGAGTACTTCAAGACCCATCTCAAGTACGAGAAGAACCCTAAGATCAAGGAGGCCATCACGCAGAAATTCACAGAGTACCTGCGGCGCGCCGAGGAGATCCGGGCCGTGATCGACGACGGCGGGCCGGGCGGCGGCGGCGCGGCGCCCAATGGCGGCGATGCCGGGCTCGCGACCAAGGCCAAGTCGTCCAAGAAAGGGGGCGACGATGGGGATGGGGAGGATCCCGAGCAGGCCAAGCTCCGATCGGGCCTCAATTCCGCGATAATCCGGGAGAAGCCGGATGTCAAGTGGAGCGATGTGGCTGGATTGGAGAGCGCCAAGCAGGCTTTGCAAGAGGCGGTCATACTGCCCGTTAAGTTCCCCCAGTTCTTCACAGGTTAGTGAATAGCCTACTTGGTAGCGATGTTCTTCTTTTTTTCTTTTTCGAAGAGGAAGTAACTTTCTTTTCTCTTTGCTTTGCAGGGAAGCGACGACCATGGCGTGCTTTTCTCCTCTATGGCCCTCCGGGAACTGGAAAGTCTTATCTCGCCAAAGCCGTGGCCACGGAGGCCGACTCCACCTTTTACAGGTATGTGTGATCCAGTCTTTCTTATCCGCGTAGTTCATGACTGTGATAAATTGGTGACAACAGTATTTCTTCGTCAGATCTCGTTTCCAAGTGGATGGGGGAGAGCGAGAAGCTCGTAGCCAACCTCTTCCAAATGGCCAGAGACAGTGCGCCCTCCATCATCTTTATCGACGAGATTGATTCGCTGTGTGGACAACGCGGTGAAGGCAACGAGAGCGAGGCGTCGAGACGAATCAAAACGGAGCTTCTCGTCCAGATGCAGGTAGCAAAAGAGCTTCTTTTCTTTGGTTTACAGCTTGCTGAGAAAACTCACAGGGCGTTGGAAACAACGACCAAAAAGTTCTCGTTCTCGCGGCAACAAACACTCCATATTCTTTGGATCATGTGAGTAGAATTTGGATTTTGTGGGATAGAGCTTTCCATCCTTGTCACTTAAATCACGCTCGCAGGCTGTTCGCAGGCGATTTGATAAGCGCATTTACATTCCTCTACCCGACTTGAAAGCAAGGCAACATATGTTCAAGGTTAGAGAGGCGATATGCCAGTTTCGTGTGACAGGATTTCTTTTTCTCGTGGCAGGTTCATCTAGGAGACACGCCGAGCAACTTGTCGGAACGCGACTTTGAGGACCTTGCAAAGAGAACGGAGGGTTTCTCGGGCTCGGACATCGCAGTTTGTGTGAGCATTGATGGTAATCCTTGTTCCAGCACTTTCTCATCTAGACGATGTTTGGACAGGTTAAGGATGTCCTGTTTGAGCCGGTCCGGAAGACGCAAGACGCGATGCACTTCAAGAGATTGAAAACCAGCGAAGGAGAGTTCCTGGTGCCTTGCGCTCCATTGACACCGGGTGCCATCCAGACGACGATGCAAGAGCTTGCTACCAAGGGGCTCGCAGCTCAGGTAACCTTCATTGTTTCCTCTTCAAGTTCTAAAAGCTGGGTGCTGTTACAGATTTTGCCACCTCCAATCAGCAAGGCAGACTTTGACAAGGTGCTGGCGAGACAGAGACCAACGGTGAGCAAAGACGACCTTGAAATACATGAGAAGTTTACGAAGGAGTTTGGGGAGGAAGGATGATTCGTCGCCCTTGTGCGTGGTCTCTTATATGAATCCATAAGATTTACTCTCTGACTTCTCCTTGGTTTGTCCCGTTCGTTCCCATGCGATTAGAAATTGACTGTATTCTTTTGCAAGTATGTTCGAAGTCACAAATTGAGCAGTTTTGTGGCATTAAAGAGCTTTTGTTTGTTGATGAAACTATTGGTGAAAGTTATAGGACACTCCCACAAGCGTCGAGAGCACCGATGAAACAAGCCTCGTCCAGTGTAAATCCCTCCAGGTCCATGCAAACGAAAACTCGAAACCCTTCCTTGCCATGCCCGCTCTGGACATATGCGACCAGCAGAGCAGTCCACAAAACAACGTCTTTGCTTTCAGCACTGTCAAAATCTCTCTTGCCCGATCAAACTCTCTCGATCTACTGTACATGTTTAGCAGCGAAGTTGCCACCATCAGGTTTGAATCGTACCCACTTTGAGCAGCAAAACTGTGAATCAGTCGACCAACCGTTAGATCTCCAGCGTCACCACAAGCTTCCAACACGCTCACAAAGTTAGCGTCGTCGGGCTTGACACCTTCGACGCTCATG